ATTGTATCGACTACACATCTCCCAAATCCTGCAAATGGGTCAAAAATTGTAGATTAGGTGGTAGATTGAGTCGCCGGACGGTGGGGAGCGGTGGAATTGCAAAGTTCGTCGCCGGTCGGGTGTGGGATTCGGTTTTAGGGTTTTTCAATTTGGGAAATTGGGGAAAATGAAGGGGGAAAGAGTTGACTGGTTTTTTACAGTCGCGTCAAATTCAGATTTTGGAAATCTGAAGAACCTCATTCCGATTTCTAAAATCCGAATCTCCCCTGTCTCTCCCAAAATTGCAAACTCTCTGATGGATTTCCTGATATCAGATTTCTTGAATCCGGATTTTGTGCAAATCGCCTATATTCGGATTTCTGAAATCCGAATATTATACAATACAAAAAAAAATGCATATTTTTGTCTTGCACAATCCCAAAACTTGTTATCAACAACTAGTATCTATTTTCATCACAGTCATAGCACCAACAATTCAATGTTAACATTACAATCCAAATTTATCAATACAAAAATTTAGAGGATATCTAATTAAACAATTGTGATTCCAACTAACATGGTCATTCTAAATAACAAGAACACCAAATGTATTTCAATTCCAGCTGTCATTTACAGGTCTTCTATCTACTCCTGGGTGCAAGTAAGGACAAGAATTGGGATCGTGAACTTGTTGTCCGCATCTCCAACATTCTGCCCGGCTCCAGCATCCCCTCTAATCCATTTGCATTCTATGTCTCATTTTTATGTTTTCGTCCCGGTCCCGCATCCAAAACAAGATGCTCATGATTCTGAATGATATTCCAATTGACCGTCGGCCATTGTTGCTCATCGGGAACCGGAACAAAACCCATGTAATCAAATTGTCTGCACCATACTGGAAGGCACCACATACTATGGTATAGATCAATAGGCCGATCCCCTATTTTCCGGCAAACGGAGAGTGCGTGTGTACAAGGCATCCGGTACTCTTGCCTTTTCCTGCACGAACACCTATATTCATCGTAGTTTACCGTATGCAAAGACACACCCCTACCACTTAGCCGTGTAGCAGTAACAACCCGCCACCTAGCATCGTCACCATCAAAAGGGGTGGCATCAAAATTGGCTGCTTTGTCGTTCATTTCCTTGTATTTTTTCCATAACTCAAGAGGGATCGGTGTCATGCAATTTCCCGCACACAATTGTTCTTCTCTGTAGAATTTTACAGTTTTGCGAAAGGTTACATCGATCAAGGCTCTAATTGGTAAAAACCGGATCCCTTCCAACGCATTGTTGTAACTCTCAGAAATGTTGGTTGTCGCTATGCCCCAACGGCGAAGACCGGCTTTCAATCGAGCCCAGGCCCAGTTACTCCCTCCAATCCCTCGAAGATACTCCCATGCAGTAGGTTTGAATTCAATAAGCTCTGCCCTCATACGGTTGTATTTCACTCTTGAATGCGTCGTGCCCTTCTTCCAACATAACCGCTTCACCTTTCTGCTATTATGTCGCGACACAAGATTGCTGCGAACGTGGCGGAGGCAATAAAAGTGGCCACCATTTCCTAAATCGCGCCATTCATCCATCTATGATATTCCACTCAACAACCTTGCATTCCGGTTGGATATCACACTTACGATTCTATCCTGCACAACCCACAACCTCAAATTTCTCATAGAAAATGTCCAACTCTCTACTGTCTCCTCATCCACAATCGCAAATGCAACCGGTAAAATGTGTTTCTTTGCGGTATAGACCACCGCAACAAGCAATTTACCCTTGTATCTACCACGCAAGTGTGTTTCATCGATACAAATGACCGGTGGACATTCAAGAACATTGCAGCCACTGGTGCAAATGACCAGAAGATGTATTTAAATGTCCTATTTCTCCTGTTCTAACCTTCTTGTCCCTCTTTTCATTCCCACTCTACTACAGTCTCAGGATCAATAAACTTAAGTGCAGCGATATACCTACACAACAAGCAGGTCATAGTTAAAATATTTCAATACATGTAACAAAAAAAACCAAAAATAATGCACATAACAATTATAAAAGTTGATATTTACCTAAGAAGTTCTTCGAAATTCGAGGTCCAATCACCATAGACTGCTTATATCGCTTTCCTCCTCCCGTGCCACGCCCTTTTGTATGGCACATCTACTTTCAATAAGGTCTTCACATCTTTCTGTGCCGAGTCCATCGTATAATCTACATTGTCCTCAACATTTCTCCTGATGAGTCTAGCAATCAAAGACGCGTCCACACACCGATTGTCATTATCATTCACGGGAGTCATGCAATTATGTGCATCATGCCATCTCATAATTTCATGAAGGCCGTGATCTTTCAAAGACACATGCATCTTCCACACACATGGTGGATCACCATCCTCACTTGGTACATTTAATGTTCTGCACCGCACAGCCAACGTGTTTGGACTACTCGCGGTGACCATATATTCTCTTTTATGATGGATGTTCCATAATTTCACAGCATATTTTGCTTTTGATTGGGATTTGAAACAAACACCAATATCTATTCCTTCGGGCGTCTCATCCCACATCTTAAGAGCAAACTCATCCTTGTCTACACACGAGGCATCCCATTTCCCTATCTTACTATATACATGGCGTCGGGCCAATGGATTAAGATACCTTTCCTCATTTTCCAATAATCCATCATCACTTTCTTCAAAATCACTCTCTGCAGAGACATCAGGTCTTCTTCGCTTTCGCTTGGAGCTATGTAGTCGGGATCCGACTCTTCCATGTAGTCATCTGGTGCAAATAAAGGTGTCTCCTCTTCATCACGGTTTCGAAAAGTACTAGCACGTTCTCCCCTTGGAAAACCACCAAATAACATGTTGTTTTCCAAATTTGCTTCTCTTTCTTCATAAGTGATATCTTTCAAATCTATGTATAAATCCAATAATATTAAAGCTACACGGTTCATGAACTATACATACGAATCATTCTTGATCTTCACTACACGCCTACCACCGGGACTATCAAAAATCACAGAAAGGTGAAGTTTCACGTGTGCTGGATCCCAAGCAAGTGTCCTATAAATCTTACTAATCAATTCCACATATGACAACCTTTCCTTAACAAACAAACCATCATCCGGCATATTCAAAAAAGTGTTGATGCTACTATTCTCTATCACATACTTGCTTGTATGAAACAAATTAAGCATGTATAATACATTACATGCCATTGATAACTGTTTAAAAAAAATCATCAATATCTAATCAATTCTTAAACAAATACTTATGTCTTTCAATAATTAATTCGCCTATACTCGGTTACATTATCAAAGTTTATATTACACTACTAAAATACTACTCCGTACACAATAAAATAGTATCATTGAAGTTAAATTATCACCTATAATAACAAAATCAACAAAAATACCATACATACTCTATTCTATATTCAAAAAACCTTTAAAAAGCTAAAATATTAGAAATCAATTTTCATGTTTCATGAATTATAATGAACAACAATGATTTCTAACCTCTAACCTCAAAATCAACACCTACAACATACATACATCATTCAAACATCCAAACAATCAATAAACAAATCCTCCACCATCTTACTTCATTCTAACGATCAAAATAACACAAAAATAAACTAAATAACATGGTTTAACTCACTAACCTCTTTCAAATAACAATTCCTAACGTATTTAGTGGTAAGATTGCATTAGGAACTCCAAATCGCCACCCAAGACCAGCGGAATCAGAAAAAAACAGTCAGTTCTCAACTAAGAATTGTCTATTTTTTTCCTTTTATATCACGTGAACCTCGGATTTTGGAAATCCGAATGAGTAAGCAAATCGGATTTCCAAAATCCGAATCAGTAAGTAATTTGGATTTTCAAAATTCGAATAACACAAAACTCGAATTACAGAAATCCAAGTTTCGTCAATTACGAATTTTTTATTCCACTTTTTGGTCCTCCAATTTATGGCATATGCCTACTTCCACCAACCAAAATTAAAGGTAGTCGGATTTCTGGAATCCGAATCCAGTAATCCGGATTACGGAATTCCAGATTTTAAATTCAAAAATTTCGCGTCTCAATTTTCTTTCTGTATTTTTTTTTTAAAATCAGATTTTGCAATTTCGAATGTTACTGTTCATTTTTGGACTTTTTTTTATTGTGATTCCACAAAATGTAAATAATTATTGTTTTAATATTATAGGGAGATTTGGATTTGTGAAATCCGAAATTTTAATTTTAATTAATCTTCGGATTTCAGAAATCCGGCGGATATAGATATGCCCACATATACTTTTAAAAAATTAAATTTGTCCACCGTTATTTTGATCAAATTTTTTTGGGAAAAGACCCTAAGTATATGTAAAACAAAAAAAAAGAAAGGAATTTGCATGAATAAGAAACATTCACTCCGACATTGGGCTTGAAGAATGATAAACGAATGTCCTTTATTTGCCCTGTTCAAGTCAAATGCACTTCACCTCATGCAGGATATACCACAGATTTGAGAAGAATGAGGCTATGAAGCTATTCTTGGAGATGATTTTGAAGGTGTAAGTGAAGAAGAAAAAGGAATCGCAAGGAAAAAAAAAACTTAAAAAGAAACTGGTTTGGTAATGAATAAATTATTTGTTACTTCCTCTGTCCCAACAAAATGATTGTCTAGTTTGGAATATCACTTTTACTAAAATTTGAACTAAAAAATAAAAATTCAAATTGGACAATTATTTTAGGATGAGAGAGTATTAAATTTATGGTTCTCTCGCATTATGAAATAAAATATCATGTAGCACCTTTCAGAATTTAGTTGGACAAATTTTATTATAATTGGTAGTTAATTTTTTTCTTTTCTTGAATACAATCGATAGTTTTCTATGACTCTTTTTTTTTTTTCCCCCTTTTAGTTTTTGAATTTTTGTTTATTATGTGTAGTTATATTAGTGAATGGATTAGGAAATCTATGGATTTTTGTACTTTTAGTCGTCAAAGGAAAGCTCCGGCTATAAAAAAACATGGAATTACGTACCCAACAATCTTCCCAATCTTAATTTTCGTCTCGTCATGATGACATCTTCTAAGCAGCATTCCGATGAATGTCGCCAACTTCCGGAAGACGTGATAGAGCAAGTGCTGGTCAGGTTGCCTTGCAAAACAGTGTTGAGATTTAGATGCGTGTCGAGAAGATGGAAAGCTATCATCCAAACCAAATTCTTCGTCAATCAGCACCTGGCCATAACAGCAGCAGAAAGTAAAAGTAATCCGAACATCACCAGGGTTCTAGAAGTGTGGGAAGACAATGGTTCATGTATCCACACAGTGACGCTGGAGCCGGACATGATTGGTAAGTTGAGAACCAAGGAATTGGACTTAAACCACCCTTTTGGAAAGCATGTAGCTGGAATCCATGGATGTTGCAATGGCCTGATTTGTTTGACTTACTCCGAGTATCACACAGCTGGGGCTCCCTCAAGACATCGCCTTTTGTTGTGGAACCCAAGTATCCGCAAGTATTGGGAATTGCGGCAGCCTATCCGGTTCATTACTTCAGCTGATCATAAATTTGATCCTGCGAGCTGGAATTTTGTGTATGGTTTTGGATACGATGATCTCAACGATGATTACAAGGTGGTGAAAGTGGTTGAAAGCTCTCATTTTGGGGTTCGAATCCATCAACAAGTTGGGGTTTATAGCCGGAAGCTTAATTCCTGGAAACTTATTGAAAAGATGCCCACTTCTGCTGCTGCTGGACAAATTGATTCAACTGTCACAGGCGATGGCAAACTAGTCAACAATGCTCTTCATTGGATCATAGACTGCGATATTTATTTTGTAGCTTTTGACCTCAGAACGGACACATACCGAATGATTCCCCAGCCAGATGAGGTAATGAAAGATAGGGATTCAATGGCACGGGATTGTTCTTATGGGGATTTACAAGGCTGCCTATATGTGATGTATGGACACAAAGCCACAGCTAGTCTGCATCTGTGGATAATGAAAGATTATGGCGTGAAGGATTCTTGGACTAAGATTGTTGTTTTAGAGGATTTTCCAAGACGTAGTTGGTACTACCCTAAGGGTCCGACGCGGCAGCATATTCCTATCGCATATATACGCGGAGGAGGAGGCGGAGGCGGAGGAAGCGGTAAAGTTTTCTTTGATGATCGGAGTTGCGTTTATGGTTATGATATTGAAACACAAACATTTGAAAACTGCCCTCCCTATTCATCCTTTTCACTATGTGTTCTTCATGGTGAATATTCCTTCATTAGCACACTTGTTGACCTTGACCTCACTGCACAAAGGTAGAGAAACAAGGTTGTTCTCACTATAGTCCCGTTGTTTTGTCGGAGATATCTCCTCTTTTTTTTTTTTCTTTTTTTCTTTATTAGTAATTTTTTTCTCTCATGAGTTCAATCCCTGCATTTTTTTGTCTAAGAATGTCGGGGTTTTCTTTGAATTTTGGTTCCTAAGGTTATTAGCTAGTATCCGCGGAATCTTAGTAGTCTTTTACACTTTTAATTTAAATCGTTCAACTCCTTTCTAACTTTGATTTTATTGAATAGAGTAGTATGGCTGCTTTTTATTAATATAATAGAGAAGAAGATTGATGTTAGAGTCCAACCTGTTACAAAAGAATAATTTACTTTGTTGAACTATATATTGAAAAAAAAAACAAAAGAAAAACGTTGTTACGTCTCTGTCTCACTAATAAAAGAAACGATCAAACACAATAAGTAATACAGAGATATTGTAGGGACAAATACTGTTTGAGTATGGGGCGTTGTCACTATCTTAAAGGAGTTAAGGGTCAATCTATATAATCCAATCTAATCTGTACATGTAAATATATCTACTATCTATACTCCTACCGGTGTTAGATGCTTTTTCAATTCGATCTTTTTAATTTGGGAAAGCCAAAATTTGGACTGAGATCTACAATCTGACCACAAAACTCCAAACTTGCGCAACCTAGCTAGTCTGTCAGTGTGACGGCAAATTTGAGGTTTCTTTCGTACCTCTCCAGAAGAAGAAAAGACTACTAAAAAAAAAAAAGTTAAAAAACGAATTAAAAATTGAGCCAGTAATCTACTACTGTTACGTCCCTTTGATAGTTTGATATATGAAATGCACCCTACAACAACAGAATAAGTCTACTACTAATCACATAATTTGACCATTTTTGCATGTTTGTCAAGGTTTTCAAATAAAAAAATCGTGGATAAAATACCATTTTGGGTTCCTCATTATCACAATACTCTTTCGGATGTAAAAAAATAGTTCTCATTTTTTTTAGAAAAAAAGAATAGTTTACATTAAATTTTAAGTATAAACTATTTTCTTGGAACGAAAGTAGTATCATCAATCACACAGTTGTGATCGTTCAAAAGTAGGTGAGATCACACCTTTTCTCACACATACATTATAATATACCTATTGCTTCCTTTTCTTTTTTATCCTTCTCTTTTGTGCATTTTAACTATATTTAGAGATTAGTCCACATTTGAGATAGGTAGATTCTTTAGGAGATAAAAAAAAAAAAAAACAAATCTCTCTTAATAAATGTTTTAATAAATCACAAATTCCAGAGCTTAAAATTGTTCAAATACATTGAAAATGAAGAATTTCAAAATTGAGCTAAACCGTAGATAAAATATTTTTTTCTCAAAATTATTGTGCAATTTGCATTTTTCGTTTTAGTACATTTTGAACTAAAACTTGAAATCCAAACTGGACAATAATTCTATGACGAAGACAGTGCTATTTTGAGTTCCTCATTATATAATACTCCCTCCGTTCCTTATTATAAGTCATTTTGATTTCGTTCTAAGTTTAACCTAGGATGTCTTTTTAATTAGAAAAAAAAACCTTAAAAATATATTTTTACATTCGTTGTGTTTTTCTAATTATTATGAAATATTTTTAAGTTTTTTATTTCAATTAAAAAGACATCCTAGGTAAACCTAGGACTAAATCAAAATGTCTTATAATAAGGATCAGAGGGAATACCATTAATCACAGTTGTTATAATTCAAAAATAGACGAGATCACACATTTTCTCATATATGTAGCGCTTTTTTTTTCGCATTTAACTATATTTAGAGACTAATTCTTATTAGAGGGAGAGTTAGGAGTTCAACGCATAGTGCAATCTCATGTTGGAACAGTTAAATAATTTTATTATGATGTAATTGGAGTTTCCTATCCCTTATTGAAAAAATGCAGGCGTTAGCCCTTTTTTACCCCAGAAAAAGAAAAAGAAAAAATTCTCCAAAAATGTTTTTCAATGGATCACAAATTTTGAGCTTAACAAAAGTAGTAGTAGTAGTTTTGAAAAAGAAGAATTTCAAGTTTGGGCAAATCCGGTTGAAATATAGGGTCCTTCGGCTAAAAAGATTAAAAAGAATTGATGTGGACAAAAAAAATTTACTTTTTTTTCGTGGACATAAGTAGTTGTCTCTGATTTGGCAAATCTGAGAGTTTAATAAATTAGACTTTCGGATTTCGGAAATCCGAATGAATATAAAATAATAAATTATTATTTTTTTATAATTTTGAAAAAAAAAAAGAACCAAGGTCAAAATGTATACATTAAACTCGGATTTCCGAAATCCGAGAGCTTCCTCAACATAATTTTTTTTAAAAAAACTGAAGGGTGGGAAAATTTAAAATTTTATTTATAGTGGGAAAGTTTGAAAATTTAATAAATGTACAGTGAAATCGGATTTCGGAAATCCGGATTACCTTTTTTTTTAAAAAAAATCTTTTATTGCAAAAAACTTTAAAAATTCGAGTTTTGATAAGAATTCACATTCAATTGACATATCCACTTTTAAAAAAATAAAAAAAAATATTGTATTAGATATGATATTAATAAAATCTTTTATTACTTATAATTACTAAGAATTTATATTAAATTAATGAAAAATATATTACTAATGTTACATAGTATTATTAAATTTTGTAGGAATTTGAATTAAATTAATTCAGTATAATTGATGAAAAATATATATTACTAGTTTTACGTAGTGTTTTGTATTATCTGTACGTACTAGTATTATGTAGTACATTAATACTATTACCCACTATACATCACTGTACTAGTGTTTCTTATTACTGTTAAATCCGTTAGTCATTAGATATTATCATTAATTTAGTATAATTCATATATACTAGATTTATGTACTTTTTATACGTATTGGTATTATGTAGTACATTAATAACTATTAGCCACTATACATTATTGGTACTGGTGTAACTTATTACTGTTAAATCTGTTAGTCATTAGATATTATCCTTAATTTAGTATAATTTATATGTACTAGTGTTATGTACTTTTTATACGTACTAGTATTATATAGTACATTAATACTATTACCCAATATACATCAGTGGTACTAGTGTTACTTACTACTGTTCAATCTGTTAGTCATTAGATATTATCATTAATTCAGTATAATTCATATATACTAGTGTTATGTACTTTTTATACGTACTAGTATTTTACCCACTACAATCACTGATATTAACGTTACTTATTACTATTATATCTGTTAGTTATTAGATATTATTATTAATCCAGTATAATTCATGTGTACTAATGTTATATACTATTTATACGTACTTGTATTATGTAGTACCTTAATATTATTACCCACTATATATCATTGGTACTAGTTTTACTTATTACTATTAAATCTGTTAATCATTAGATATTATTATTAATTCAGTATAATTCATTAGTACTAGTGTTATGTACTTTTTAAGCAAATAATCGAATTTTCAAAATTCGAGTTAAGCAAAAAATTAGATTTTCAAAATCAGGCCCTAGAGTTTAGGGTTTAGGGTTTAGATTCGGATTTCTCAAATCTGAGTTTATCTCAAACTCGGATTATGAGAATCCGAAATTAGCTTAAACTCGGATTTTCAAAATCCGAGTTTCGTTTAAACTCGGATTTCTAAAATCCGACTTTTAGAGTTTAGGGTTTAGGGTTTAGTTACGGATTTCCCAAATTCGATTTTCGTTTAAACTCGGATTTCCAAAATCCAAATTTAACTAAAAATTGGGTTTTCAATATTCTATTTAGTTCAAACGTTCGATTTTACAGTTTAGGGTTTAGTTTAATGTGCCTTGTGAAGGGTATGAGCACTACCCGGGTGAGCGCAAATCCGAAAGTTACCATTTTCTAAGCAACTCGTATTTTTCAAATTCGAGAGTAAGTACAAAAAGACTCGGATTACCTAAATCCGAGTATATTCCCTTTATTTTTAACACTTAGATTTTTTTTTTCTTTCTAAAACTTAAAATAATTTTTTATTATAAACTTTCGAATTTCTGAAATCTGAATTTCCATGTGTCGGATTAGGCTAATCCGTTTCTAGTCAACTTCTATTTTCGAACACTTGGATTATTTTTTCTAAAAAATAAATATTATTTTATTGCTGACTCTCGGATTTGCGAAATCCGACACTTGATTAGTTTAAATTAATTTTTTGATTTAATTTAAGTAATTTTAGGTTATTAAAGTCTCGGATTTCACTAATCCGAGTTTTGGTTGTCTCGGATTTACGAAATTCGACTGTGCGGTACTCTCGAATTTAGCAAATCCGAGAGAACTAGTATTGTCCACCTAATTTAGATCTATATTATCTTTTTCCAGAATCTTTTTTAAATAATTTTATGGGTAAAAAACTCGTTGATTCATGTCATCAAATCATGCATATATATATATATATATATATATATATATATATATATATACTAGTGATGTCTGGTCGCGCAATGCGCGACCCTGGCCCAGTCTATTTAGATCTTAGAAATGTTTATATTTGAAAAAAATAAAATTTTGTATTTGGAGCGATATATTTTAGAAATGTTTGAAGGATTTAGAAATGTTTTATAAGTGTGATCATAGAAATATTTGTATTTCACAAAAAAAAAAAAATTGTATTTCGCCATGTATGTTTTAGAAATGTTTTATAAGTGTTACTTATTAAATATAAATAGCTTAATCGAATATATGTGTTGAAGTAAATGTTAGATAAAATATAAAAGCATCCTAATAAATTTAAATATTAGTAAGATCATTTATTAATGTTCTCCATTGGTCGTGCCAAATCAATACTTAGTTTTGGAGATTTTTAATAGCTTTGTAATAAGGTTCGTCCAAAGGGTATACGCTTAAAACAAAATTGACACTTTGTAACAAAAAACCTAATTGATCAATTCAATTTAAAAAACCACTCTAGTTGAATGAGACATAAAGAAAAAATTAAAAAAAAAACGTGTCACGTAAAGTGCAAATGGAGATTTAGTAATTTAGTTATGGTTAGACAAAAGGGCAATTTAGTATTTTTTACATGCCACGTGGCAATCATATGAGATGTTTGAAAGGGAGGTTTTTGTTTCTAATATATAGTTTAGACCAGGTTCACGATCTTCTCGATAAAACGCGCTTGGCTGGCATTAGAACCGGATCCTCTGTATATTTGGATATCCTAAAAGCATACTGTAAGGTTAATCGGACAGGAGAGATCTCTGAATCGTCCTTTCAGTTCAACTTTGACAGTGATCTCTGAATCGTCCTGATCAATTTCTTAATTTTGCTTTTACTAAGAATGAGTTAGTACATACATGTTACAATAAGCAGGATTATGTGATTTCCAAAATGAAAAAAAAATAAAAAAACAAAGGGCGTGAACGAGTCCACATCTTGACTATCATCAGTATATTCAATATTCACCTCAATCACCAGTGTGGTCAGGGGGCCGGCAAAAAGGATGTAAATTAGAAAAAAACAGTGCCTGAATTTTGGCAACGACTTGTTCAGAAAAAAAAGGATAAATTTGAAAAAACATTCCAGAACTTAATATACAACAGGTGACTATTACCTGAATTTTCACATACTTGGAAAGAAAAAAAGGGCAAAGTACACTGATTGCTTAATCAAGTTTTTCTTTTAACTGCGCCTTTGATGCTTGGGGACCTATACTTTGTCCTTCAATCGCCCCTTGGAGGCTTGGTAATCGTTCCACCCAGACAGAATAATAGAGATAACACACTTGGAAATGCTCAGAAGCTTTTTGATAACAATGAGCATTATCAGCTTCAGCAGGTAAAGAACCCTTAGCATAAACGGCAAAGCTTCTCCTGATAAGCTGCGATAAAGTACTCAGAAGATCTTTATTCAAGTTCAGATAACACAGCACAGCGTTTTCAAATTTCGACATCAGTATTAGCGCCGACATGAGTTTGGCCATTATCCGGGTGATGATGCCTCTTCTTCATGAGTTTTTCCTCCAAGGTTCAAAACGAACTCCATTACCGCCTCGACCAAAGATAACACCTGTCGAAGGTTTCTACACTTCAATGTCATGGCTTCCATCACTGATGATGCAGCACAAGCATTTTTGGAGGCTTCATTATCTATTAAATACGCCAAGTCATTGAGAAGAACAACTACTTCTACCCTACAAGTCTCCATGACAAGTTGGATACACCTGTCAGAAGAGATAGGATCCTCCTTGTTGACATCCGGTAGTTCTACTTCTACGGGACCGATTAACCATTATTATTTGCCGACAATTGAAATGGTGGATTCAGCTAAGAATAGAGCTTCGAATTTGTCAGCAGATGGTAACCCACTATTCAGGATAGCTACAAAACCAGCTCGAATGTTAGTTGACCAGACAATACTGCTGGAAATCCTTCTGCAGAGACCACAGAGCTTCATGTACAGGTGCTGAATATTGTGAGGATAGAATGAGCGATATGAAGTGAAATGCTGCTTTAAATTTGACATCATTATCAGTATGCAACGACAAGCCGAAAATCCGTGAAGCTTCAACAACCAACATGGCCAGCTCTGATGGATGTTTGATGTAAGTTTTCTTGCTGGGGAGCTTGGTTAGCATGAGCTGAACAAGTTCCATTGCGTACTTAACTGCATTATTTGAACCAACTAGCAGTGGCAGATTCGGCATCTGAGAAGCAAGAAATTGTATCCCTCCAGATTTATACAGTGCCCTGACACCATCTTCTGAAGCATTTGCTACCAAGTACAATATCTCGTAGCAATCTTCAATTCTAGACGACAAGACTGATATTCCTGTAGAAAGAATCTGGAACAGGAGAGGAACGACAGGAAGAATTCGTGAAGAAGCTGCAATTTGGGGAACTCTACAGAAAGCAGCCAGTACAGTTACAGAGATCTCCAAGTAAGCACCACCACCATCATCTCCCCTGCCGACAGCTTTTCCTGCTGTGCGTAAGAGACGGAGGAAAAGCTGAAGGCCTAGGGCGTGATAGACTTGGATGATGCCGGAATAGTCATCTTTGTTTTTGCAAACTTTGGTTATTAGAAATAATCCGGCCAATCGACGGCAGTCGGCTTCTTCTCCAAGAAGTTTTAAGCAATCTTCCAGTAATGCAGAAGAAGACGGAACTGTTTCTCCTCCAAGTAGTTTTAAGCAATCCTCCATTAATAACAGAGATGGAACCGCTTGGGCCGCAGTGTCCATTGCAGGAATTAGGTCAGACAAATAGCTAGGCGGAGCTTCCAGCTTCTGATAGGAAACAAACAAACAAACAAACAAACAACGAACCATCTATTTTGTAGAGGTTTACACAACCTTTTCTAACTCTGAAACCTAAAATCTAAATCTACTCCAAATCAGAATCGGAAATGACCTTAGCAAATCCAATGTAACTTCAGGATTGAATTTGTTCACAAACCAGGTTGAACATTCGCAACAATTGAGCTCAAACATTTCCTCAGTAGCCAGGCATTTTTCTCCACTCTCACAGAATCCTACAAGTTTTGCAACAATTTCTGCACTTTCGTTATTAGTGTGTATAAATAAAGCAGAAAAAAGGGAACAACTGCAACCAGTCCAGATCTACTAAAAAAGTTTATCTCAATTATTACCAGTTTAATTGTTTCTACTGGGAAAAAAAAATTAAAAAAATTCAAATGCGACATTGGCACCAATAATAATAAATAAAAATAGATGAATAAAACACCATGCGAGAGAATTTGCAATCGGGCAAGAACAACGACTCAGATGAAATTGAAGGTTAAAAAAATTGCAAAAATTCTCAACTTCTGAGATACAGAAATTCCACTCTACAATATTGAGAAGATTAATTCGCACAAAATTGTTGTGACCTGACGGAGACAATGGCGGCCACCCGATTGCAGACAATGTCGCGAATAAGGTAAGGTTAGTATCCATTGTGCCGCGGAAGCTTTGGCTCTGTGTTTTGTAAGTTTCTGTAAAAATCATACTGAATTAATTTACTCATCGTATGTATGTGATCCACTTCATTTTGCTTAAAAAATGCACACCAAATTGCAACCTGTACACATTGCAGTGGATTATTCTACTTACCATGAAAACCGACTTGCGTGCCTTGTCTCCTAACTGTTTGTTATAATGCCTCTATGAGTCAAAAAAAAAAAAAAAAAAAGGAAAAACCTTTTTTTAGCCCAAGGAGCTTTTGAAAAATGGATTCCAACCCTTCGTTATAACTCTTTAGTAAATGTTACACACGACTTTTTCGTAAGCATAGTAAAAGTATGCTACTTGTTGCATAAACATAAGCTTTTGAATTCATAAAAGCATTGTTAAGATTCAGATATCACTGTCAGTGTTGAACTGAAAGGTATTCTTGTATGCTTGTTAATTACATCCTCTGGATTCCCTGCCTTTCCTGAAACAAATGGATTTGGTGGAAGAATATGATCTTCCCCAATTCCTTCAAGCATTTGAAGCACGGATTTGATTGAAGGGCGATTTACAGGGTTCCACTGGATGCACCAAAGTCCCACAATCGCCAGTTTTTTACCAATCTTGTACTCTCCATCTTCTTTATCATCAACTTGAATCCTTAAATCTTCTCCTTCCGTTAGGCGTCCGTAAATCCATTCGGGGAAGTACACCTGGCTAATGTTTTGAGCATCGGCGTTGATGTTCTTTCGCTTTCCTACCATTTCAAGTAATAACATCCCAAAACTATAAATATCAGATTTGTAAGAGACATTCCCAAAGTGTCGCGAGAAGACTTCTGGCGCAATGTAGCCCATCGTTCCTCTTGCAGCCGTCATGGAAACTTCACTTTTACCCTTTTCACACATCTTGGCTAGCCCGAAATCAGATATCTTCGGGTTGTAATTCTCATCCAGCAAAATGTTATGTGGTTTGATATCGAAATGGAGGATTCTTTGTTCACATCCTTGATGAAGATACTCTATTCCTCGAGCTATGCCAAGAGCAATGTCTTGCAGCCTCTCCATTCCTAGTGTATGATGCTCCTGGTCATCGGGGAATATGAACTTGTCAAGAGAACCATTAGGCAAGAACTCATAGACAAGAGCTCGCTCGTACCCATCTGCGCAAAAACCTAAAAGGCGAACTACATTCACATGGTGGATTCTTCCTATTATTCCAACTTCATTAATAAATTCTTCACCATTATCTGCGGAGCTATGCAACACTTTCACAGCAACATAAATGTTGTTTGAAACCTTTCCTTTGTAGACATTGCCATAACCTCCTTCGCCTAGTTTATCCTTGAAGTCGCTTGTAATTCTCTTTATTTCTGCATATGAGTAGCGCGTAGGTTGCATAGCCGCATAGTCTTGCAAGAATTTCTTCAACCTTCTCTGGTCTTCTCTGTTAACTTTCATTGCGGAATAAGCAAGGCGTATGGCACTGATAGCGAGGATGAGAAGCAAACATCCAATGATTGGACCTGTTGCAAAAGGCTTAGGTTACTAATTCAATCCTTTTCTGTTTTTAAAAATTATTAAGAACAAAGAATCACAGAACTTACCAGATATCAATAGTTTCTGCAATATCCCTGTAATATATATCACCAAGTCAGAAAATTGTTCTAGTTTGCAAACATCAGAAACACCAATGTAGCAACTAATTCGACTAGACAAAACCCGGATAAAATGTTTTACAATGAAATCACTATTGATGCATCTGATTAGACTTTGTACTAATTAACTGGAAACCATAACTAATTTGGAAAGTATTTAGATGAAGAAACTTTCTATACCTTTGAAATTGCAACTTGTCTGTTCATTAATCTAATTTGGAAAATTATGTACACGATGATGAAAACATCACTTCCAATCTAAGCAAACATCTACAGAGACCACAGTTACATTTATGAGGTAAAACTCACACAACACCGCATTAATGCGTACCAGAGTGGTGTTTGTTTCCTCCCAAGCAGTCAATTAGACTTCGGCTCCCTTTTTTCCATCTGCAGATTCCCCCTCGTGACTCGCACTTGCGACAAAGTGGCAAAGACCAAATCAATTCCATGGAACCTGTGTAAAATATTGACGATGACACCGATTTCGTGTCATACATCTTTGTACAAGATTCCAATGAATCTGCCCTATCCCTAACTTCCAAACTTGAGTTTGCAGCATAAACTTTGTACCTATGGTGTCCAAGACAATCAATTCTGACCCATTGTGACTCATATTCTCTCGACATGGATGAGCAATTGAATAAAGAGTAGCGCCCAACTTCATAAAAGAAGTTACGGGAATCGGGTGAGGGATACGAAAATGGAGTGGTGGATATGTCGAGATCACTTAGGTGCTTTGCAAAACAAGTTTCGACAAACCTGACTTCAATCATTTGGGACGAATAGGATATGTTGGTCACCTTAACTTTAATGGATGAGGAAGGCAGCTCAAGTATAGTACGGTTGCTTTGGTAGCAGTGAAGATTGAAGCCGGAATTATAACCGCAGTACTGAGGCTGCTTTTCCCGGAGCACGAACGGGAACCTTACGGCCGGACCATCAGGGCTGCACTTCCGTTCAGCACACAAGTCATTATTATCATCGGGTTGGTTTCCTGCGAGGATCAACATTGGTGACTGCAAGAAGATTATCGAAAAAGCGAAAAACGTACCAAAACCCAAACCCATCAATCTTCTTCTTCTCATCACCTCCATTGGCACTATCCCTGTGTTAATTTGGTAGAAGAAGATGAATATTTCAGCAGTACACACAACACGTTTTGTAACTAAGGTGCTGAAAAAGGAGTACTCACTATTTGTGGTCTTTCCAAGAACATTACAAGTCACACGTGCTGTATAGTTTAATTCCATGTGCAAAATCTGCTACACACACTCTTTGGTCGGAAAGTATCAGAGTAACCGCGGATGGGTCATTAAAAAAAGAGAGAGAAAAAAAAAAAAAAAAAGAAAGAAACATCCCGGCAAATCCCTCTTTTTTGGGCCCTTCATATCCAAATGACAGATTTAGTGCGTATTATACACATGCGTTACAGCCTAACTTTTGAAGTTAAAGTACTGATGAGATGGATTTAAGCCATGATGAATGCTAATTATTTGTTTATACAGTACTGCTACTATTACTATTATTATAGTGTTCAAATCTTTAAGAAAGAATGGAGCTGTCCAAGTTCTTTCTTTTTGACTGATCCACTTTAAAAAGTCTTAAGACATTCTCCTCCATCTTTATCTTCACCTTCACCTTCACCTTCAACTTCAAGGCTTCAAGTTCACCAATGTCGCCCCTGCAGATTTTCGCTTTTTTCTCAAGCTGTTTCTTATTCTATTTGCTGCCTAACTGGTTGGGCTCGTATGATCCGAGGGATAACAGCATGTGCTTTTATGATACCCAAATGGGAAAATACGCGTGTAAAGATAGCCAACACAATTGTGGGGATTCCCCTCAGAACTTGAAGTACCCTTTTGAAGGAGGTGATCATCCAAGTGACTGCAGGTATCCCCGTTTTCATCTTTCTTGTCTGCATAACCGCACGGTATTATACACCTCTCCCAAACAATACTATTATGTCAATGTAGACAGCATCGATTATAAGAAACAAACTCTTGGTGTGATTGATCCTGGTTTTAGGAAGGGCAACTGTTCAACTCCTCCATTGCATTCATTTCAGCGCAGCTTCAGGACTTTATATGGCCGAGGTCACCTCGACGTACGACTAGATTTGGTTCTGAGCGACGAGACTCATGTCTTGGTTTTCATCAGCTGTGAAAACCCGGTTACGAATCCTGAATCCAACTCCTCCACTTTTCATCGTTTAGTAGAGATGAATGCGCCTTGTCATGCTGCCAGTGCCTTGTATTTTGCCAACAACCACGACAGCAACAGTAATAATTATGTTGTGGTGGGCCGAAATGTTCTACTTTCTGATATTCCAGAATCCTGCGCCGTTAATAAAATCCTTCCGGCAAAGATCCAGGATGCTGAGTCTCACCTCATCACAACAGGAGATGATGTGGAATTCCAACACATACACGATATCTTGACTGATGGCTTTGAACTCAGCTGGACATGGGACGCTTATGGCACAGGGTTGAAGAAACCATTTTGGTGTGAGTGCTTCCTTGACATGCCTTGCATTTCTTTTGTTTCTTCTTTATACTACTAGTAGTAGTATTTTACGAGAGTTTTTGCATTTTTATTGTAGGCCGCCTTTTATCAATTCTAGTTGGATTTCAGGAATTTGTCAGTTCTATGGTAGAGCAAACCCCTCCTCGGTTTCAGGGTGAGCAGACTCATTACTCCTATGTTCTTTCATTATAGACATATTGTTTCTTCCCACTCTAATAATGATCAAGGGCTTGAAGTTCAGAACTAAGAAAAATACTTTTTTGAGTTACAAAGCTTCTTTTTGGGGTTTCTATTCGTTGATATTCCATACATTTTCTTTATTGTGTAGGGCTTGAGATCAGAGGACTCCAGGTTTTAGGTATGTTGTTGAATCTGCTTGCTATCACATTCAGTACCCTTTCAAAAACGATCAAATGAAAGAATATCTGTTCATTGGCTTCTATTTTCTGTTGCAGTCGTAGTAGTCTCTGCAAGAACTTTTATTGGCGTTCTATTGTTGATGGCGTTTCTCATTTACAAGGGCCGTCGAAGGCATTTGTCAATGTATGATTCAATAGAAGAGTTCTTGAAAGTAAATAATGGCCTCGTGCCTATCAGGTACTCCTACAGAGAAATAAAAACCATGACCAACAATTTTAGGGATAAGTTAGGTGAAGGAGGGTATGGTTTGGTTTACAAAGGGAAATTGCGAAGTGGAAGCTTAGTAGCTGTCAAGATGTTGAACAAATCCAAAGCCAACGGACAAGAATTCATCAACGAAGTTGCAACTATTGGCAGAATTCACCATGTTAATGTGGTACGGCTAGTTGGATTCTGCGTAACCTCTTCAAAGCGTGCTCTAGTCTATGAGTACATGCCCAATGGCTCCCTCGATAAGTTCCTCTTCTCATCATCACCTAATGCAAATGCTGCTACTTCACTCAAGATTAGCTGGAAGAAAGCACACGAGATAGCAACGGCTGTCGCGCGAGGAATTGAGTATTTACATCAAGGATGCAACATGCAAATCCTGCATTTTGATATCAAACCACATAACATCCTCCTTGATGAGAACTTTATTCCGAAAGTTTCTGACTTTGGTCTTGCTAAACTGTACCCCTCACAAGATGGTTACATTGCAACTCTCACAGCCATAAGAGGAACAATAGGCTACACAGCGCCTGAATTGATCTACAAAAACATCGGAAGGGTCTCTGCCAAGGCCGATGTGTACAGTTTTGGAATGTTACTCATGGATATGGCTGGAAGGTGGAGGAACTTCACCGTTAATCCTGATGCGGACAGCTCAAGTCAAATGTACTTCACCTCCTGGATACACGACAGGCTCGATCGAAATGAGGGGTATGAAGCTATTCTTGGAGATGACATTGACCGTGTAAGTGAAGAAGAAAAGGAGATTGCTAAAAAGTTGGTTATGATCGGATTGTGGTGCATACAAATGGCACCCGCTGAAAGGCCTTCAATGAGGGAAGTGGTAGATATGCTTGAAGGGGGGGACCTTGAAGGACTAACATTGCCTCCTAAGCCAGCACTGTATTATCCAGAATCAGCAGAAGAACTCCAAACCAGCCCTAGTTCTTCCGAAGCATCCACGGAGCCGCTATGCAGATCTGTTACTTTAGAAATTGAAACACATTCATGCTAGTTAAGTGCTTTTGTTGTAATCTGGATTCATTAGTTTCAGAAGTCAACCCAGTGATTGATGATTCCTTTCTGTTCTTTAACTAGAATGTATATAAAATCATAGTGAATTCAGTTTCTTATTACGCTGTTGATGTACAAAGTCCAGTGCTTCACCCCAAAGGTCAAATGATCCAAGCTCCAGCTGCAGTAATGCAGCAACCCTCTCCCAAAACTAACACCAATCAAACATTGTTTTTTTTTTTTTTTTTTTTCCTTTTTTCTCATTCTCACAGAACCCGGAAAGTTTTGGTACAAAAATTTCAGCAGTTGCCTTAATGTGGTGCAGGCCCAAATGAAGAAACATGCAAGTATTCAACTTCTCACCACTATATATACTGAATTGTATTCCTTCACATAAAAAATGCCCCCATCGGAACAGGATACTCTCTCCCCGGCGGAGCTTCGGATGGCAGTCCGTGAGGCAGAAAATGCAGCAAAGGAGGTTACTCGGCATCCTTCTGGGCAGGTACTTCCATCATGATCATATTGGTTTGGATTCAATCTTGTTTTATGTCATGAAACTAAAGAAAGAATTCTGCAAGTTTTATCCCAAAAATCATATTTGGCTCAAAACAGTGAATAATATAGTTGTATCTGATCAACGTGATTTACACAAACCAGAATACAATCTGTACAATTATAGTGGATGATCAACTAGCTATGTATATATATATAACTGACTAGCTAAATTAACAGTGTATCCGCTAATGTCTCCTAACTGTTTGTGATAATACCTCTATGAGGAGTTAAAACCATTCTCTAGCAGTTAGCGGAGCAGCCATAACAAAGTTGCCTCAAACATCTAAATGTATCTCCTTCATTTTATATAAAGCCTGTAGAAACATCTTAACCTCTTCATCGTCACTACTAGTGATTGTACAATGTCACCAACATGCAGGTCGGAACACAACAGCAAAAAATAATCGAAACCATTCCTCTATAAATTACAATCAAGTGTTAATCCTTCAGATCAAACGATAATTGACAGCTAGTTATCATATAACAAAATAAAAAAAATAAAAAATTCCATCATTCAAAAATGAACAATGGCATCTTATACCGTGACAATGCTGCATCAATAGCATCCTGTAGAACTTACTCTTTGCCTCAGATTTTACCAGTTCCACTTTTCAAATGTTGGGTGACCAGATGAAGTTACTTCTATCTAACAACATTTACTAACCAGCTACAGTCCTAGCTGAGAAAAAGCTTGGCACAATTTTACTTAAATGTTATAACAACCTGTGCAATCCACATGATTAAATCCTTGCAGCAGCGAAGGCATATAGATCCCTTTAAAGATATAAACTGAAAAGTGGACAAGTGATCAGTTGATCATCTTTCACTGATATCCTGTTAAACTAGGTTTCCATCACAGGATACCCAAACAAATCTGTTGCAGTATATTCTGAAAGAGATTACTAGATACTTTATATTACAACAAACCGATAATTTTAAGAATGTCGATATATTCTATTCAATATCAAAAGTTGCGGATCTACACAGCGGCTCTGTGGATGCTTCCGAAGAACTGGGACTGCTTTGGAGTTCTCCCTGTGATTCAGGAGGGTACAGCAATGGCTTCGGAGGCAATTTTAGTTCTTCAAGATGGCCTTCAAGCATCTCTATTACTTCTCTCATTGAAGGCCTTTCAGTTGGTGTCATTTGTATGCACCACAGTCCTATCAAAACCAGTTTTTTGGCAATTCCTTTTTCTTCTTCACTTACACCTTCAAAATCATCCCCAAGAATAGCTTCATACCCCTTGTTCTGATCAAATCTGTCATGTATCCACGAGGTGAAGTACATCTGACTTGAACGGTCTGCATCAGGATTAACAGTGAAGTTCTTCCACCTTCCAGCCATATCCATGAGTAACATTCCAAAGCTATACACATCTGCCTTGTAAGATACTCTTCCAATGTTTTTGTAGATCAGTTCAGGTGCTATGTAGCCTATTGTTCCTCTTATGGCAGTGAGAGTTGCAATAAAACCATCTTGTGAGGGGTACAATTTAGCAAGACCAAAGTCAGAAACTTTTGGAACAAAGTTCTCATCAAGAAGGATGTTATGCGGTTTGATATCAAAATGCAGAATTTGCATTTTACAGCCTTGATGCAAGTACTCGATCCCTCGCGCCACACCCATCGCAATCTCATATGCTTTTGTCCAGCTGATCACAAGTGAGTTAGCAGCATTGGCATCAGTAGCTGATGACGAGAAAAGGAACTTGTCTAGGGAGCCATTGGGCATGTAGTCGTACACTAGGGCACGCGTTGAGGAAGTTACGCAGAATCCAACTAGTCGCACCACATTAACATGGTGAATTCTGCCAATAGTTGCAACTTCGTTGATGAATTCTTGTCCATTAGCTTTGGATTTGTTCAACATCTTGACTGCAACAAAGCCTCCACCTCGCAATTTCCCTTTGTAAACCAAACCATAACCACCTTCGCCTAATTTCTCCTTGAAGTTGTGAGTCATGGACTTAATTTCTCTGTAGGAATACCTGATTGGCATAAGGCCATTGTTTGTTCTTAAGAACTCTTCTACTGAATCGTACATCGATAAATGCCTTCGACGCCACTTGTAAATGAGAAATGCCATCAACAGAAGAATTCCAACAGCATTTCGTGCTGTGCATACCAAAACTGCCAAGTAATCAATCATATATAGAAGTCAAAAATAATAATAAAACAGCAAAAACCTAAAAACGAATTCCTTGGTTTTATTGCTCTTCATAGGGTGATGAATCTGATAGCAAGAAATCTAAACTCTTACCTAAAGTCAGGAGTCCTTTGGCACCAAGCCCTACACAAATAAGAAAATTTATGGAATGTCAAAGCCAAAAAAGGTTGTATCTCATTAGATGAAAATCTCTCTTTCTTTTTCCAGTTGGCTTATCTTTAAATCTTTCTTGAACTTTCAAGGTTCCGACTAACAATTTTCCATCTAAATTCTAAAAGTTTTAGTGCTAGTTTCTAATACTTATTAATCTGAAGTCTTATTTGGCCTTTTAGTGAATTGACTGGCGAGCTGTTGATCATCCAAGTGGGAAGAAATAGTTAATGGTAGCTATAAACATAAGATATTTTTTGTGTTTACTCACCCCCAATATGTGAGGATGTCTGCTGAATTGAAGTAACGATGTCATGTATTCCAGCAAGTATTGATATTAGGTGGCCTGTGGTGTCCCGCAACAGAAAATAACAATGTCAGTGAACTTAAACTTGCGAGAACTTGATCAAAAAGGAAATGCAATTTACAGAATTGGAATAATTGAACGTGCACTCACACCATAATGGTTTCTTCAACTGACTGCCAGTAGAAAACCATGTCCACTGAAGTAGAAAGCCATCAGACAACAGATTGTGTATGTGTTGGAATTGAACATCATCTCCTGTTCTTCCCAGTAGAGATTCATCATCAATCAGTGCAGCCGCAATTTTATTAACGGTGCATGATTCTGGAATATCTGATGCAAGAAGATTTCGACCAACCGCCACGTAATCATGAGTAGACATCTGTTGACTGTCACTCCTCTTGGTTGCAAAATGCCCTGCACTGGCACTACAGGATGCAGTGTCTACTAAACGATGAAACATGGAACTGTTCACTGGATTTTTACAGCTCACAAACACCAGTATGCTCGTCTTATTGCTTAGATACAAACCCAGAGATATATAGAGGTAATTTATGTCATTCGGCCCCATAAAATCAGAAGACTGAAAACGATAACTTATAGGATACAATGGAGTAGCTGAGCAATTACCCTTTTGTAATCCAGGATCAATCACTCGAACCGTTTGATTTTTACGATTGAAGCTGTCTACATCTACATAGAAGTACTCTTTTGAAGACCGATATAACACCGTGCGATTATGCAGACAAGAAAAATTTAAATGAGGTCTTGTGCAGACACTTGAACGATCATCACCGTCAAATATAAAGGGGAACTGCAAGTCTTGTGTTGAATCCCCACAGTTGTGTTGGCTACCCTTACAGGAGTATTTTTCCATCGTGGGATCAGAATAGCAACTGGTACCTTTCAGATTGAAGTTGACGAACCAGGAAACCAAGACGTAAACTAATAGAATGGAAGAAAAGAACGCCAAGAGATGCAGTGGAAACATGATCAGCTAAAGGTAATTGAGCTGAAGTGGGGAGAGTCAAAAAAAAAAAAGAGGGTACACTAAAAAATAGATGCAGTGGTATAATTCTTGCATTTGTATTGAAAGGCTCCATAAAAGAGGGGAAAATTAAACATGTTTCTTTATTCATTTTTCAACAAAAAGCTGCTTTGGAAGTTTCAAAGTAAACGTACCTGTGGGGCCTTAAAGAGAGGAAGTCTAGTTTACTTAATCATTTTGTATTTGTCTTCTGGAAAAGCTGACCATATTTAAACTCCAATCATTCTTATCTGTCAAAACATAGTCTGACATGCAAAAACATGAGGAAGATCAGAAGATTGATAATGGCTTTGAATATCATTTTCTTTGCTTGGCTGATCCTTGCCGGAAACCAGCCTAGTACTGCAATAAGCACATCTGATGATGATCTGTGTGCTGAACAGAAGTGTAGCCCTGATGGCCCGGCCGTGAGGTTCCCGTTTGTGCTCCAGGGAAAGCAGCCTGAATACTGTGGTCATGATTCAAGCTTCAATCTCCACTGTGACCAACTCAACCGCACTATACTTGAGCTGCCTTCCTCATCCATAAAAGTTCAGGTAACCAACATCTCCTATCTGTCTCAAATGATGGAAGTACTGTCTGTCGAAACCTGCTTTGCAAAGCACCTAAGAGATCTGGACATATCCGCCACCCCCTTTTGGTATGACTCGCCAGAGTCCTATCAATATGAACTTCCCGGCTTCTTGAACGGTAATAACTACTCATTATTCAATTGCTCCTCAGCAAGAGCAGACAATGGTTATTTTTGGTCTAAGGTCGATTGTCTAGAGAACAATGGGTACAACGTTCATGCAACATATCAAGATATGGGAATTCCATATGTAGCAGAAGTTATGGAATCTTGTACAAAGATGTATGACGTGAAATTGGTTACGGGGACACTATTTCAAACAGATTTCTTGGAACTGTTTTGGTCTTTGCCGCTGTGTCGGAAGTGTGAGTTACATGGTGGAATTTGCAGATGGAAAGGCGGAAGTAGAAATGAAATTGGGTGCTTAAGAGGAAACAAACACCAGTCTGGTATGTTTTTAACTATTTAATTTATTTAAGTTACTTCGTAAAATTATTAGTCAAGGTTTGTTTATTGTGAAAGTGAATGATTCATTAAGAAACAAAGCGGAACAGAAATGGATTGATTAGTGATACACAGACAAATTGAAGCTTCCATCCGTTCCCAAATTGCTCATGGTTTCAAGTAAATAACCAGAGTCCTCAATATTAACTTAATGGCCAGGTTGCTGCTTTCATTTTCATTCTTTAAAAGGTTCTCTGACTTGCAAACTCTCGTTACAGGGATACTGAAGAAACGTTTATTTATTTCTGGTAAGTTTTGTGGTTTTTCTTTTTTTCTTTATCTCAAACCAGCTGAGGATTGATGGACAAACTAATTGAGCCTTTTGCAACAGGTCCTATTATTGGATGTTTCTTTATCATCCTAGCTACTAGTGCATTATACCTTGCTTATTCAACAAAGAAACTATACAGAGAAGAACAGATTAGGTTAAAGAAATTCTTGGAAGATTATGCGGCCATGAAACCTATGCGATACTCATACGCTGATATTAAGAAAATCACAAATGACTTCAAGGATAAAATAGGTGAAGGAGGTTATGGAGATGTCTACAAAGGAACTGTTTCAAACAAAATATTTGTGGCTGTCAAACTGTTGCACAGTTCCACAGAAAATGGGGAAGAATTCATCAACGAAGTTGGAACAATGGGAAGAATCCATCACGTAAATGTAGTTCGCCTGTTAGGCTTCTGTGCAGATGGATACAAGAAAGTTCTAGTCTACGAGTTCCTGCCTAATGGTTCCTTGGACAAGTTCATATTCCCAGAGGGACAAGAGTATCACACACTAGGAATGGAGAGGTTGCAAGACGTTGCTATTGGCATAGCTCGAGGAATCGAGTATCTTCATCAAGGATGTGAACAAAGAATTCTCCATTTCGATATCAAACCTCATAACATTCTATTGGACGAGAATTACAACCCGAAGATATCTGATTTCGGGCTAGCTAAGCTGTGTGAAAGGGGAAGAAGTGCAGTCTCCATGACGGCCGCAAGAGGAACAATGGGCTACATTGCGCCTGAAGTCTTCTCCAGGCAGTTTGGGAATGTTTCATACAAGTCTGACATTTACAGTTTTGGGATGTTGTTGCTTGAAATGGTGGGTAGGCGAAAGAACATCGACTCCAATGTTCAGAACCTTAGCCAGGTGTACTTCCCTGAATGGATTTACGGTCGTCTGGTTAAAGGAGAAGCAGAACACAGGATCCAAGTTGATGATGAGGAGGAGGAAGATGGAGAGGACCAGATTGCAAAGAAATTGGCAACTGTAGGACTTTGGTGCATCCAGTGGAACCCGGCGAATCGCCCGTCGATCACAGCTGTGCTTCAAATGCTTGAAGGAAGTGCCAAAAGTCTAATTCTTCCGCCAAATAATTCAGGGCAGGCGGTGAATTCAACTTTGACAGTGATATCTGAAACGTCCTGATCAATTTCTTAATTATACTAAGAATGAGCTCAATATATTGTAGTATGAGGTTATACTAATAAACTGGATTATTATGTTTGTGTAAGTCAGTGTACCCAGTTAAAATGGATTGGTCGTCTTCATCTCTCTATTAAACCATAATCTAGATATTAACAGATATTGAATTGGTTGTCTTCGTCTCTCTTTCAAACCACATCACCTTCATCACAAACTGAGATGAAGCTTTGGTTTTTGATTTGCTGTATTGGTAAATTTTATGGTTCGAGTCTTTTATTGTTGAACTTTGAAAGTTTATGAAATTGAGAAATAGAGATAAGCTTTAATTCTAATTAGTTAAAGCCCTGATGATGATATTCACCCAGTAGAAACAAACCAACAAATCTAAATCAATGAAAAGAGAGCTTCACGAGAGCCAGAGGTGCGTAAATCTGAAATCAACAAATCTAAATCTGAAAGAGATCTAATTCAATTCGAATTTGAATTAGTCGAATCATCGATTTCGGACACTACACGAGGTGCGTAACATGAAAAGTAAAAAAGGCGTGTTGACTACTAAGCTGTCAAAACATCGTCAGAACTACAATGCGATCATTTCAGAAATCAAGCAAATTCAAGGTTCCCAGGATTTGTGTTTTACCTTGCAGATTTCTCCTTTTTATCCCTTGCTAAAGTTGGAAGGAAACTCTAACTACTGTGTGCATAAACCATTTAAAAAAATTTCTTGTGATCCTTGTTAGTGCGCCATTTCCGCCCCGAAGGACGAGGGATCCAAGCTGCTGCAGTCATGCAGCAAGCTTTCTCAAATTCACAGAAAGACAAAAATAATACTAATACCAATAATAATGATCATAAACACAGAGAGAGAAAGACTGCTTATAGATAGCTAAGAAACGTTTTGGGTTACTCTGGTCAGCTATAATTACTTCCAGAAGTCTTATTATTCGTCGTACATTACCCTTCTTATGCAGTTAGTTCCTACATTTTGTACAATGTGAACTAGGGAAACAGGAATGATATCATACAGATGTTTGATTAATTATTTTTTTTACAAGTGCAAGAGATTTGATATCAAGTTCCAACCCATCCAAGTCTTTTTGTCACAAGGAGACACAAAATTGAGCTCAAACATTTCCTTGGACGCATTTTCTCCACTGTCACCGAACCCTACAAGTTTTGCAACAATTTCTGCACTTTCCTTAATGTGCTGCATGTCCAATGGATCTGTCCAAAGCTTGTTTGCCAGTTGAAGCCTCCTTTTTGGCTTCCCTTTCCCTTCTGATGGGACATTCCATTTCAAATACAGCATTTCCCTTTCTTCTGCACTTAGTTTTATGCTCACTCGCTTTGCCAGATACTCCCTCTCTTGTTTAAGTGCCCTGATGCTGCATTCCCAAATCCAAAACCAATGTTTTGGTATAGATTGAATTTCAATTTGGCACGTTGAAGTGGAAGTTGTAAGGAAATTGATACTGAGTTTTAAAGTTTAATTTACCTTGATGATACAAAGCTCGCGGGATCATCACCCAGAAGCGCCGGACTGGCATTGCCGAGATCGGCTAAATGCTGCTCCAACCATGTCAGCCTTCTCAGTTCAACTTCCATGTATATCTGGTCAGAAGGATCCCCCTTAAAGAGCAAATAAAATTGAGTGCGATGCACGAGCGACACGTGACACAAATGCCACAACATGACAATTTGCTTCCTCTGATCTTCAAACACCAATTGCCATGTGGCAGGAGATGGTTCTGTTGCAGCATCCGTTTCATCAGCTGCAGAGGACTCATTTGCCTCCATTTGCAACACCTGGAAAGACAAGAAAAGGAGATGTCATGCTCATATAGAAAGATGGGAATTAGGAGGCTTCATGTCATACTTAGGCATATTTTTTAAAAAAAATGGAAAAACGAAACAAAAATAGTATAAAAGTTTTGCTTCATGAAAAATCTGTAATTAGGCAATATTCATCATTATACTCCAGCTGAAATGGAGCCAAAAGTTCATTCTTAAGCTGATACGACAACGTCCAACAAAAGGATTTCATGAAAGATCAGCATCAATCTTAAGTTACTTGATCAAAACAACAAATTCCACGAACAGTAAGGTGGAGTCAACGAATCCAGACATGACAACCAGAGTTCACTAAAGTTGCATTTATCTCCTTGACATCCATGTCCATGCTAAAACACAGCTTTCTCGTTCTTCAGAATTAAGGCAAAAGAAATAACACAAAAGAGACAGGATCCGCTCACCTGGCATACTAAAAGCTGTTTCTGGTATTGCAGCTTTGCCACCCGTTCTTTTAGTTCTGTGACATAAGCTTTTATGCTTCGGATGTTCTCTTCAGCAGCTTTTTTGAACATTTTTTGCATCTTCCTCATGTCAACCGAGTTCGAGTGCTTAGACACAGGGGTAACGGCCTCCATTGATGAGATATTGTTAGTTCCAGCGCTGCGAGGAGTGTTCTCTGGGGCCCTATTCTCAGCTCCGGATTCAACAATTTTACAAGAGGAAGAGCTTGGGGAGCATGGAGATCTAATTATATTCTGCATGTTGGTCGCGTTGCTCAATGAAAAAGGAAGGACTTTCTTCTTTTTCAGTGAAGAAGTCCTTTGATCAGGAGTCATCTCATCACCGCTTGGATAACACATTACCAAGTTGTCTATTGATCTTTGAACATTTTCAAGCTTTTCTTCAAGAGACGCAATGGTACTTTCTTGAGAGTCTAACCGAGCAATCTCTTCTTTCAAACTACCTTTGTCTTTCATATCTATCTTTTCGGGAATACAACTGATAGCCTGCATTTCCTTGATTTCTGAAAGCAGTTTTGCAATCGACGCAGTTGCATCTTGACTGCCAAGTCTGTGAGAAGCAACCTCCTTATGAAGTAATTCAAGTGCTCGGTTGGCTTCTTCACCGAGTTGCTTCTGTCTCATCTCAAGCTTTCGGATCTCATGCACAAGCATGGATGGAGAATTTGAAGACTGTCTAACTCCTGACTGCCTTCCGATCATCTTCCTCGGTTTGGTTCTCGGAAGAGGACTTTCAGAGATTGATTCATTCTCACCAGAAAAAGAAAGGCATTTAACAACTTGACGAGATGGTCCATGATGATTTGATCCCTGGAAATTAACGATAAATAGATCCAAGTCAATTCTATGGTTTCTTTCGAATTTGAACTCCCTAACACACCCAGGGGAAAAGAAAAAGGGACAAGGAAGTAAGACAATACTGTTCCGTCATACCTTTGGCTCCTTGTGTGCTCTTCTTTCCAGCTCCAGCTGGGATTCAGCAATGTCTCTTTGTCGTTTCAGTTCATTCATCTCAATCTCCATCTACATTTCAAACTTTTTCCATCAAAACATATTCACCAGCACCAAAAGCTTCGCGACATGTTATATAAAACAAAATTTTGGAACAACATGATCATGATGAATCTCAGGAAAGGGAATTTAATAAAAGATTGAGGATTTTTGCAACACTAGAAGGAAATGCTCCACAGTGCTGAATATTATGAAGCATTTATGGTGCTAAAGGTTATTTTGCAGGTTTATTTATAGATGATAATTTCTCATTTGAGGAGTGAATTGCATTTCTATGTACTACCTGCTGAATTTTCAGTTCCTTTTCCATCAATAAGGACCTCAATGTTGAGGAGCCAAATGGCTCAGGACTTCGATGCTCTGCTTGAAGCCTTGCAACTTCTTCTTGCAAATGCTTCACTAATTGCTTCTGAGGGACAACCTGGAAAGAAGAAAAATAAAATTAGGAAAGCGGAAAATATCTGGGATTTGCCTATATGGCAATAAAGATAAACAATCTCAGAAGCTGAACAAAGAAAAGGCAAATGAAAATCATTATAAACAGTAATATGCCTCCTTTATGCATACCAGATTTACTTGTGCATTATTTCTAACTTCTTTTGCACTTGTAGCAAAATTGAGAGTGTTCCGTGATTGTTCCACATGAGTCAGAGCAGGACTCATTGTACAAACAATTGCCGTTCTGGCATTCCCCCCAAGAGAAGACTGTAATATCCTCGTGAGTTTTGAGTCCCTATATGGAATGTGTCCACTCCTCATGCCACTACTGCAAAATGCATATTGATTAGTGACTTTAGCTCCACAAACAAAGAGAATTGAAGCCTAACAAAAGAAAAAAGAGCTTGAAATATCAAAAATGTTTCTGTCAAGCAAATTTTTACGATCTCTTACAGAATGATGCATAACTAATAAATATCAAGTCAAGTTTTTCATCAATCAGGCAATACCTTAGCTTCCTAATAACAGTTGTCAAAGTAAGCAAGCTTCGATTAATATGGCTCCCTTCCTTCAACCTTGCACCATTTGTATTTGTTTGTGACACACGTTCACTTCCAGCAAGATCAACAAGATACTGAACAATTCCAAAGTTATAGATTAAATAACTATGAGGCAATCAGTAGAAAAGAAAAAACTTCTAAATTAAGGAAAACAAAGCACATACCAAACTTGCTAACAATGATCTCAAACACCCTGAAGGTTCCCGAAGACTGCTCTCAATGGTCTGCATTGAAATTGAAAAAAGAAGTACATAAACCTAAAGTAAGGAATAAGAAATTTTTTAAGGTTCCAAACAAGAGAAACAGCTACCAGCCGACAAAGAAATATATAACCTATTAACTAATGAACTAATGATTAATGGCTTTCAAAATCTGAGGGATGACGTGGAAAAGGAAAAAATGAAGAAACAATCTAGTACAAGGCAATCTAGTACTTCAGCTTACCAGCTTGATTATTTGATGTGATCTTGAACTTTTATCATTAAGGGCAGTCTCTCCTACTTGTCTTTGAGCTGGAAATGGAAACAAGAGGGAAAGGGAAAAAAAGGGCGGGGTGGGTGGGGGTGGGAGGGGAAGATGAATCAGCATGAGTAGGTGATAGAACCAGGCAATTTTTAACAATTAGATTGGGCTCATACCTTCACATATTCCGATAAGGTGGCGTAAGTGCTGGGCATCCTTTACAACTTCTTCCGTTTGTTTTTCCACTATAGTGCCTTTCTGTATTTAGCAGGGTTGAAAGACAATCAAGACTTGCTGAAAAGGAAATGGATTCAACCAATCATGTTCGTAAAATGTTCTCACTCGCCTCAGGATCATCGAGAAGTCGAAGGCTGCCAGAATCACGGTTTAAAAGGTCGACCACTGTTTCGTTATAGATCTCAAGGGCCGAAAACTTAAGTGCAAATTCCCTTTCTGGTGTCTGAGATATCCAATAAATTTATAGTCAAATACACATAATTGGGTCAACTCGTTGTAACTTTTGTACCAACCATATAGAGAATTAATCTGCACAATTAAAAAATCAGCTGAAAAAAATATTGACAAATGAGATGAACTTACAATAGCGATATGCTCATATATGTCCAAGATAGCATTTTCAGTTATCCCTCTCATAGTAAACGTCTTTCCACTACTGGTCTGCCCATAAGCAAATATTGTTGCTGCAAGAGGAAGCCAGATCTCATGAAACCAAAATTGAGAAGATTATACACGAATTTTATATCGGGCAAGGAACACTCAAACAACACCAAGCAGAATATTTTTGCTGTAAGATAAAGCCAGATCTCATGAAAACCAGCATATGGGTCCAAAATTTTAGAAGATTATACAAGAATTTTATTTCGGGCAAAGAACACTCAACAACACCAAGCAGCTCTATCAAACCACAGCCATCAATATTTCATTTCTTTTTCAGCCCTAACATCAGAAAGCAGTATCATGTGATTAGTCTCATGTCCTCAAATAGGAGGATCAAAACATCAGTTGGAGTATCAGCAGACAATATTGAAGTGTGTGTAAAACTTCGATGTTTGGATCTTGGTATCCCATTAGACTAACAAAAAGACAAAAATATTGCTCTCAAAAAACTTGATAATGCGTGGATAAAAACAGTGATAATGATACATAGATTGGTGACTTTAACAGCCCGACTTTTACAGGACTCGTGTGCAGGAGTTTCTATGCACCGAGGCTGCCTTTTTTTCAATTGTTAAGTTTCCAAACACTATCAATAAATGCTCTCTCAAGTGTTTATTCTATCTGACGTTAGTGAATTCTAATCTATCTAATCTGTAGTCAGATATCTAAGCAGGTCCATCTAAAGAAATTCAATCATTCCTTGGTTTTAAGGTGATGGGGGCTCTTTATAAAATCAAGCAGACTATCAATTTTAAAAGGTAAATTGGAATTGGCTGGCTGCATACTCTAATTTATTAGTGATCCTCACATATTTCTCTAAAGCCTCACAAAGACTGCCTTTCAGTACTAAATGCTATTTCCAAGAATATACTGGAAAAATAAAATCCAATCTCTATATTCAAAGCCAAACAGGTCAAAATCTGAAACAAAAATCAATAAGTAAATCACCATTAATTCCACTTAGAACAGAGATAGCTACATCCCGAGCCCCTTCTTCATAAACTTTCTGATTTGAGCACGACAAATCAAACACTTTATCTGCACAAGATAACCGGAAAAGAAAAGTTAAAAAAAAAAAACAAAACAAAACAAAAACGAACTGAAACAACCACAAATATTAAGCAAATATAAAAACATCAAAAACACCTAACTACTGTTTGCCATACCAAATGTATAGGGTCCACTAGGTCTTTCATGAGTCAAATTCTTAGAAGTAATTGTATGTTCATCAATGAACTCCCAAGCAATAAGATCATAAGCAGCCTGCTCTTTCGGGCTAAGTGGCCTAACTCTAACTGTCACAAGTATCTTCTCCTCCCGAGTTCTTGGACCACCACCTGGCGTACTTGAAGGAGCTTTCTTAATCATTGAAGATGGGGTAGCCGGCGTACCAAATCTCATTTTGACAAGTTACTGAATGTCCTGCAAAAGATCGATACACTATCACAACCCCTTATAATTTTTCCATAAAATTCATCCTTGTAATCTTGAAAGAAGAACAAGAAAAGAACAGTAGAAAGATAATTTATTCAAGAATGTGAAAATCAGAAACCCACGAAGAGATATTTCTTCAACGCAGAAACTAAACAGAGCGAGCAAGAAATTAGGGAAACCAGGACTTCCATCCTAACCCAAGTAAGCATAACAGGTACAATCAAACACACGAACAAATATGGAAAACAAAGATTGAAGTATCACAATATAAAAACCAAGAAAGGAAAATTCAGGTGATAATTTGATGCGGTTGGCTTACAGTAGAAATCAGCCGACCGGGTTCTTGAACAAAATGGAAATAAACGCGAATCCAGTACCAATTCTCATAAAAAAGAACTGTGATCTTGGGGCACAAGACGAAGAAAGAAAAGGAAAATCCGGTTCAGGGCAGATCCAACAAGCAATTAAGGGAAAGAATGAAAGCGGGAGTGCTCCTGGAGAAGGAAAGTGAGGGTTTTCTTCGTTTCTTGTTCTTCTAATTTGGGGGAATTGCCAGTAAGCAACGGCTAGTTTCACTCTTCTATTAATTAATTTTTATTTTATTTGTATTTTGTCTGATTTGCCGTTTCCGTACTGTGCGCGCTCACCTGAAAATTTTGAAGGCGTGATCAATCCAGTTTCCGACTGCATCAGCCATTCAGCCCTCAAACCACGATTTTGAAATTCTTTCTTTTCAATATACTAGGAATGGCTTTCTTTCTCCTAGCATTTGAGGTTTTCATTCTGTTTCTTTTTTGAAAATAAAAAAAAGACTTTATAGCTATTTTGCTTCCATATTTTAATAGATCAGTGTAGATAATACTACTTAACCAAATACATCAAAATACGTAAATATTACACTTTGTCGGATAATCTCTCTCTAAAAAAAAAGAGCTAATTTTTTTATATTATTTCAATTCAACTAAATAGACTATTTATTGGGAATAGAGAAACTATAAAAGTACGTCATCGGTCTAATGATGATGAAATTGATGAAAACAATGATGAAGTAGACGAAAGATAATTTTCATAAAATAATGTTGCCGATTTATTTGTTGTGTTCCTATCCTCGACGATAAAGTCGATGAAAGAAGATTTACATATCAAATTTCGTCGTTGATTAATTCGTCGCTTTCATTTGCCCGACAAAGAAGTCAAAATGTTGTCGACTTATTCGTCAAGTTAATTCTCTAGACGGTAAAGTTGACGAATGAAAACTTTCATACAAAATTATGTCTTCAGCCATCACTTTGTTGTGCTTTTCCTTTTTCAGTCAATAAAGTCGACAAATGAAGAGTTTTGTACTTTTTTTTTGCTACAGTAAACGTTGTATCACATCACTTATAAAATACCTCATCTTCTATTCTACCATAATATTTTTAGGCAATGAGAGAAAAATGATTAGGCTCATGAGTAAAAGTTTTGATCTATTCTTCATTGTCATTCTTTTTTGCTTTTGGTGCATCTTTGCACTTAGGCTTTCTAGAGAAGTATGAAGCTCATGTGGTAAATCGATTACCTGATTTGGTTGAAGTGCACAATTTTTTTTTGGAATTAATGATGTCGGGAGTAGAGTTTTTCGTTCACAATAATTTATAGACTTTTTTAATGTCGGGAGTAGAGTTTTTCGTTTACAACAATTTTTTTAATGATCCGAAGTTTCAGAAGGAATGTTAGGAGAATAACTTATAGACTTTTTCAATAATCATGAAATGAAAAAAAAAATTACAGGGTCTTCTATTTTTAAATTTTAATCACGATATCAGTGAATGTCTATATGGCGATAGAGAAAATCAAACAAATAAATACGAGCAGATGGTTTTTATTTTGCTTATAAACTCAATCCTGCTCCCAATGACTTAAAACTTTGCATGGTTGGGAATGATATTGATGCGAGATGTAATTTCAATTAGCAACACTAAATAATGATTACTCGTTAATTGATTAAAAAAACATCATTTGTCACAACTATACTTGTATTGACTAAACAAATTTTGAGCTGAAATCTTATCTCCTTGTACAATCAAAACATCCATGCTACTTCTTCAAAAAAAAAAAAAAAAACATCCATGCTAGTTTAATCAATTTCAACTGATAAATACGAAGAAGTAACCAAACAAAACTTCTAACTAATTATGTCAATTTCTCTCTAGTAACATCTATCATCGTCTAAGTTTGCTAAAATGTAGTTGCATTCGCCACTTCAACTCCTGTTAGGTTTCAACCACTACCTAGTCATCTGTTCACACATTTCAAAGCCAATTTTACGGATGTTTCAAATTATATACTAAATCTTATGCTTAACAATCGACTTTCTTAAATATGCTAAAAAAACAAAATTCAATTCGAACAAAAAATCAAACCATTGAGTCTTTATGCATATTTAAAAAAAAAATTAAAAAAATTACTAAATTTTTTCAATATCAACGCAAAAGTCACAAAATATTTATTGCTCTTGAAACTAATTGTGTTGATTTTGCCGTATTCTCAATAATTCCGACGATGACATACATGAAAAATGAATCCATTGTTATGTATGCCTATTAAATTTATGTTATTAATTAAATTAAAATAATGATTGAAAATCCAACAATAAATTATAAATTTGGGTTAAACAAAAAAAAAAAGAAAAAAGAAACAACTTGAAGATAGAGTCGAATTTATCGCCGAGTTTCATAACCCGACGATAAAGTCGACGAATAAGGAACTTCGACGCTTCCGATTCCAAAGGGCGATTCCAAATCACGACTTCAATGAACCAAAAGAGAAAGGACCAAAAATAATCCAAAAAATGCGTCGACTTTGACGTCTACTTGTTTATAGCAACGAGGAGGTCGACGACATCTGAAGGATGTTTTATCCGGAATAAGTGAATCTTGTGAAAATTGGGCCTCGTACAAATGGGCAACCAGGACCATTTTCAATCATAAAAACATTTGGGCGTTATATTCATCTATTTCTGTCTGAAACATGATAAGCCCATAATCTCCTAGTTGACTTTTGTTTTTTAAGAAATCATGTCCTATTGACAGAAGAAGAAGAAGACACACATAAGATTTTGTGTGTCTGTGTAGGGTCAACTTCAAAATGGTCAATTGTAATGAATGACTTTTGCAGGTGCACCTTCTTTTGGGAAGGAGTCATCAGGTGGTTTCAACTCAAAATAAAAAAAATAAAAAAAATAACAATAATCATATTTTACTTGGAATTTTTAATGATATTCAACAACCACGAAAACCGCTAGCACAAAACTTCAACTGTACATTTTTCCACATTTGCATTTTGTTCATCATAATTAAAGAGGGTAACATCTAGGCATGTCCAAGTTCCAGAATCGGCGGTTTCGGTTCTGGAACCGGTGGTTCTATAACCACGATGATGGGAACTAAAACTGAACCTTAAGATTACGGTTCTGGTTCTAGTTTTGGAACCGCAGATTTCGATTTTGGTTCTGACATGTAACGGTTTTCATATAAGTTTTATGTTGAGTTTTGAAATGAAAAGTGTTGAGTTTTGAAATGAAAAGTTTAGATTTTCATTTAGCTTCGATTTGGTATCGGTTTTCATGAGATTTTATAAAGGCTTTATAATTTTAAATTATTAAGACATTTTTTTTAAAAAAAAATATCCTATAGAACGTAAAGAATTAAATTAAATCACAAATGTATGAAAAAATTTTTAGGGAAGACTTGTCAACCTACAACGTAATATCAATTACCAATAACACTATTTCTTTTCTTGGATCAACTTATTCTTTTAATTAAAAATAATAATTAATCATTGTTTCTAGAATTAGACACGAGATATATATCTCAAGCACGTACACGTCATCACAATTTATAATTTTTATTTTTGTAAAACTAGTATTAACCGACGATTTAGTATAGTTAGAACCGTCCGTTAGAACCGTCAGTCGATTCCCGATTTCCTAAACACTAGAACCATAATCAAACCTTCATCATGTAGTTCGGTTATGGTTCTTAAAACCGTCAACTTGGTTCCGGTTATGAAATTGTAATCGTCGATTCGGTTTCAGTTCGATTTCAGTTAGAACCAGAACCATAGACATGCCTACTAACATCTTCGCAAAATTTAAAAATGACCAATAAAAAAAAATCGCCACCACAAATTGATTCTGTTGTCAATTTCTTTCTAGGAAGGGAAGCAAAAGTGATAGAATGCAATGCTGCTTTGTTATGGAATTTTATTAAACCAACATCATCTACATTCGGACCGACCAAACCGCCAATTGAAATCTTATCCTGAACTTCTTTGCATTTATGTTTTTCCTAAAAAAAAAGGGAAAAAAAACTTTTTAATTGTTTAGGATGGAAAAAAAAAAATTTAATGTACTCCTATTTGTTAATATCGACGTTGGTATTTTATGGTGTACTTAATCCATACATCAGCATGTTACCAAACACTATGACTAATGACGATATTACATTGGAATAAAAAAAAATATAAGTCCTATTAAATTAATAATAGGATTAACACAACACAAACTATGTATATATTTACATAAAAATTCATTTCCAACTAGTTGGTAACATGTACCAAATTATTCTTGTATATGGGGAATTAACCGACCTCACAATTACCTAAAAAAAACTGTTCTTTCTGCTTTAAGCTGATTATTTGGTTTGATTTTGTTACATTTGATAAATAAATATCAAAATTAGATGATTATTTCAGAACTGTAAAATTATTAAGATTGTCTCATCGGATTCACCCAAGAAGTTGGAAAAAAGGGACTCGTCCCGTTCTTGGTTGGTGATTTGATTGTGGTAGGAATTGACAAAGTGAGAAATTATTGGAGGGAGAGGGGGGAGAAATCAAATCGAAGAGGCAAATAAAATCAATTGGAACCTAAATTGGGATTTGGGGTTGGTTGGGGACACTTGAAGTAAAAGTAAAAAAAGTGAACCCAAAAAGATTAAAGTGAGATGCAGCGGAATGGACAGGAGGACACAATTAGCCAATTAGGCATCATGAATCTCTCTGTCCCACGAACCCATCAAAACCCCAAGTCCACTGTTTTTACTCCATTACCTTTAATTTTTCTTCAGGGATCCACCATTACTCAATTGGATGGATGGTCAACAATTAATTAGTGAACGAATGGTACTGCATTTTTTTTTCCCCTAAAATCCATTCCACTGGACCCCATTTAAATGTAGATAAAAATCTTTCGTACAACTTCTAGAGAGAATCGAACCCTGGTCTATCACTAAGAAAGACAACAATCTAACTACTAGGTTGTCATTCAATTCCCGTAATGGTACTGCAGATATAACCTTAGTTTAAAAAATATATATACACTACAGCACCATGTACGTATATATTATCCATTGGTGGATTTGGATATGACCGATTTTTTAATGTTATTTTAGGAATATTAAGCTTTTGGGGTTATATAAAATGATTATTATTATATCCTTTGACAACTACTAGTATTGCTTAAGGACAACGCTACTCCCTCGTTCTTTGTTAATGTTTCTAGGGTGGGCCTAATTCATTACTCTACGGTCTACATGAATGTTTACTATTATGATGAAGAATTTTATTCAAAGAAAAATAATGATTAAGAAGATCATCCTCAATTCCTCATGCTTATGAGCTCGAACTTTGGTAGTTTGGCCTCTAATTTGTTCGTGTCACCATAGTCTAAGCGTTAATTTGGTAGCCGTTATCA